ATATATATATATAACAAAGGTATATAGTAAATAGTTTATAAGAAATACAATAAGTATTATATATATATATATATATTAAAAATTGGGTCAAAATGGGTTTTGGATGGGCCGGCCCAGTCTAAGCCAAGTCTTGCTTGACTCATGAATTTTCACAGACTGTGTCGTCTTGGCCCATGTACCGAGGTATGCCGATCCAACTCAGTCCATCAATATTGATGGGTTAGACCGTGTCTTAAACAATGTCGTGTTATGTTGTGATGACCTAACACTGTATCAGGATGAGTCTGAATCGATCCACGGACCACAATCCATAGTTGCATCTCTGCTTGTTAGCGCATGTTCCCATGCATCACATTGGATGTTCCTGTGCTTACAGCAGTATAAAACTCGTGAAGATAGAGATTCGAGAACATCAAAGAAAGAGCACATTTTACAAAAATATAACATCATTTAAAAGTTTCCCGATACCATATTCGTTCCTCTAAATTAAAAAACCAAAATGACAAAATTACCCTCAAAACGTTAGGGTATTATGCAAAGGGTTGAAATTAAAATGAATCACACAAACCTATGAGCTGTCTGTTTCAGCTATTGGGACGTTTGGGTCCAATTCTAATCGTACCTAACAATTCAAATGGACGTTTAAATCAGTAAAAATAAGAGCTCATTCAAACCACTATGGCCAACTTAAACATTCTCAAACTATTAAAATCATAATTTATACCCTCCCTTGAATTCAAACTAGCCGAATGGTTTTGCTACAGCAAAACAAACACTTTTTTGCTTTTTCTCTCTCATCAACTTAAATTTTAAAAATATCATAATTTTTTCGATTGGAAATATTTTTTTTAACGTATTCATAATGAAAAGAATAACAAATTTCCATCCATTGTGCATATTTTTTAATGTCATTTACAATGAGATTTTATATGATTTATTACAAAACTCTAATGACAATTTTTAACACTTTATCCAAACACAATTTCAGATTTTATTCCTAATTCAAATTACAATTTATTTGCGTATCCAAACAATAATTTGAATCACAAGTCGAATCACTACAGTTCAAATTCTATAATTCAAACCAAAAAGATTCAAACTTCCACAGTTTGAATTGTTGAATCAAACAAGGCCCTAATAGTTTATGCTACAAAGACTGCTTAATTTGTCTACTTCCACCTTGTGGATGTATCTGAAGATTAAATATGTTAAATAATGCCAGACAGCCTCAAGTCATCGCACAATTAAAATTAAAATGATGAAACCTCCCGCGTAAGAAATAATGTCGACTATAGCAACATCTCAGCAATTTGAACAGCATTAAGTGCAGCTCCCTTGCGTATTTGATCACCGCAGACAAAGATGTCCAACCTGCAGAGAAGAATGCCATCAGTATATGAAGGTTGTTGAAATTTTTTTAATTTTTATTTTTAGAACTAGAGATTTATTTCTTACCCATATTTCCCATCCTGAGACACATCACGGCGGATTCTGCCAACTGCGACATCATCTTTATTAGACACCTCCAGCGGTGTCGGGAAGTTATTTGATGCCCTATCATCAATAACCACCACCCCAGGTGCGTTCCTCAGAATATCCCTTGCCGTGTCCTGCACATCCATTGGACTTTAACACTTCAAACAGAAAAAGAAATCATAAATCCAAGAGAGTTGGGGCAGGAAGGAGGCACAAATGATAAAAATATTGATAATAGTGAGCAGAAACCTAGCTCTGGTGCAACCAGTCAGCATCAAATACAAGAAGACACCCATGCAATTTTCAATAATCTTAGAGCATCTCCAATGCGTGCCAAATTTTGGCATTTGAGTGAACAAATCACTCTCCTACGCAATGCTATTTTCTATGCTAAATATGGCAAATGACTCGGTGGCAAATTTGGCAATTAATAGTTATTGGTTGATAACTTTTTCATTTAATCATTACAACATTGTTCTTTTAAAATTATTGAAATGTCAAAATTCTTATAAGTTTCAAAGCTTAACAATTATGACAAAAAGTAGATATAACATTGGAGCACAAATAGCATATCACATCAAATATGCTAATTCCACGCTTCTTGATGACAAACATAGTATTGGCATTAGCATTTACATTGGAGATAGTATTACATGATAAGCTTACAGTTTAGAGCTACCAACTAGCTTTCTCAAAATACAAAATTATTTCCCCTCACTTGGAAAGTCCATTTTCTTTTAAATATTTTCATTTTTCCAATATAGTAGTTGGGACTCTGAAAACACGTAAACCTAATAAAACGTGGAACCCCTCACCCCTCTTCTTTTAATAGGTACGTGACACTGACTGACTACAATGGATCAATCATCATCATTAGCTTAGCATATCAGAAAGCCTAAATGAAGACAAAGATGAGAATTGAAAATTTGAAATTCAAATGCAAAGCTAAATAACGGCCAATAAAGATGATACCTACAAGAGGGAAACCTCTTTCCTTAACATAAACTACACAAAGAGACTTGTGTTGCATAGTTTCATCTAAATTAAGTCCAACCAGTTATTTTTCCGAGTAATATATGCACAAGAAACATCTTGATCAAGAACTTATGGTTTAGGACTTAAAGATTTTACTATAAGACAGTGGAGCATTGTTACCTCATCAAGAGGATTCTCGAACTGAAGATTCACACTTTCTGCATGAGCACGCATCACAGGAACCCGTATGCATGTGGCTGTCACCTTGACATCATTGTTGTTCTGAAAGGAAAAAGGCAGTGAACTAAAGCAAATATACCCGCAGAACAAATAAATCCGAACAAAGAGCGCTGAGCCGATTCAAATTCGATAAGAGTGAAATTACCCATATTTTCCGTGTCTCTTTGACTAATTTCATTTCCTCTTCATTGTACCCATTGGGAAGCACAGAAGAATTGTGTGAAAACAAATTAAACGCATACTGCAAATGTCAAACCATAGAAAGGTAATTCAAGAAAACTTCAAGGAATAAAATATATATATATATATATATATATTATTTTATAATTTTTCT